CAGTTAGTCCTGATGGTCTAGTTGGAGGAGTCCCTGTGGGCCCTGTTGGTCTATTTGGAGGAGTTCCTGTGGGTCCTGACGGTCTTGTTGGAGGAGTTCCTGTGAGTCCTGATGGTCTAGTTGGAGGAGTTCCTGTCTGTCCGGATGGTGTCAGATCTAATGGCCCTGTCGGAGGAGAACCTGTCGGATCTAATGGTCCTGTCGGTTCTGTCAGTCCCGTCGGTGGAGTACCTGTAAAATCTAATGGTCCTGTCGGAGGAGATCCTGTCAGATCTGTTAACCCCGTCGGTCCTGAAGGTCTCGTTGGGGGAGTACCTCTCGGTCCTGATGGTCTAGTTTGGGGAGTACCTGTCGGTCCTGATTGTCTAGTCGGAGGAGTACCTGTCGTTCTCGACGGTCTAGTTGGGGGAGTACCTATCGGTCCAGAAGGTCTAGTTATGGGAGTACCTGTCGGTCTCGACAGTCTAGTTATGGGAGTACCTGTGGGTCCTGAAGGTCTAGTTGGGGGAGTACCTGTCGGTCTCGACAGTCTAGTTATGGGAGTACCTGTGGGTCCTGAAGGTCTAGTTGGGGGAGTACCTGTCGGTCTCAACGGTCTTGTTGGAGGAGTACCCGTCGGTCCCGATTGTCTAGTCAGAGGAGTACCTGTCGGTCTTGATGGTCTAGTCAGAGGAGTGCCTGTCGGTCTTGACGGTCTTGTTGGAGGAGTATCCGTCGGTCCCGATTGTCTAGTCGGCGGAGTACCTGTCGGTCTCGACAGTCTTGTTGGGGGAGTACCTGTGGGCCCTGAAGGTCTAGTTGGGGGAGTACCTGTCGGTCCCGATGGTCTAACAAGAGTTGTACCCGTTGGTCCTGATTGTATAGTTGAAGGAGTACCTGTCGGTCTCGACAGTCTTGTTGGGGGAGTGCCTGTGGGTACAGATGGTCTAGTTGGAGGAGAACCTGTCGGTCCAGAAGGTCTAGTTATGGGAGTACCTGTCGGTCCTGATGGTCTAGTAGGGGGAGTGCCTGTCAGTTCTGAAATTCTAGTTGGAAGAGTACCTGTGGGTCCTGTTTCTCTAGTCGGGGGAGTACCTGTCGGTCCCGATTGTCTAGTCAGAGGAGTACCTGTCGGTCTTGATTGTCTAGTCAGAGGAGTACCTGTCGGTCTCGACGGTCTTGTTGGAGGAGTATCCGTCGGTCCCGATTGTCTAGTCGGCGGAGTACCTGTCGATCTCGACAGTCTAGTTATGGGAGTACCTGTGGGTCCTGAAGGTCTAGTTGGGGGAGTACCCGTCGGTCTCGATGGTCTAGTAGGAGGAGTACCCGTTGGTCCTGATTGTCTAGTTGAAGGAGTACCTGTCGGTCTCGACAGTCTTGTTGGGGGAGTACCTGTTGGTCCAGATGATCTTGTTGGAGGAGAATCTGTTGGTCCTGAAGGTCCCGTTGGGGGAATACCCGTCGGTCCCGATTGTCTAGTCGGAGGAGTACCTGTCGGTCTCGAAGGTCTTGTTGGGGGAGTGCCTGTGGGTACAGATGGTCTAGTTGGAGGAGAACCTGTTGATCCTGAAGGTCTCGTTGGAGGAGTATCCGTTGGTCCCGATTGTCTAGTCTGAGGAGTACCTGTCGGTCTCGACGGTCTTGTTGTGGGAGTACCTGTGGGTACAGATGGTCTAGTTGGAGGAGAGCCTGTTGGTCCTGAAGGTCTCGTTGGGGGAGTACCCGTCGGTCCCGATTGTCTACTTGGAGGAGTACCTGTAGGCATTGATGGTCTAGTCGGAGGTGTACCTGTCTGCCCTGATGGTCTAGTTGGAGGATTACCTGTCCGTCCTGATGGTCTAGTCGGAGAAGTTGGAGGAGTACCTGTCTGTCCTGATGGTCTAGTCGGAGAAGTTGGAGGAGTACCTGTCTGTCCTGATGGTCTAGTCGGAGGTGTACCTGTCGGCTCTGACGGTCCAGTCGGACGAGTTGGAGGAGTACCTGTCAGTCCTGATGGTCTGGTTGTAGAAGTACCTGTCGGTCCTGATGATCTGGTTGTAGAAATATCTGTCGGTCCAGAAGGTCTAGTTGGGGGAGTTCCTGTCGGTCCTGATGGTCTAGTTGGGGGAGTGCCTGTCGGTCTCGATTGTCTAGTAGGAGGAGTACCCGTTGGTTCTGAAGGTCTCGTTGGGGGAGTACCTGTCGGTCCCGATTGTCTAGTCGGAGGAGTACCCGTTGGTTCTGAAGGTCTCGTTGGGGGAGTACCTGTCGGTCCCGATTGTCTAGTCGGAGGAGTACCTGTCGGTCTCGACGGTCTCGTTGGGGGAGTACCTGTAAGTTCTGATGGCCTAGTTGGAGGAGTCCCTGTTAGTCCTGATGGCCTAATTGGAGGAGTATCTGTTTGTCCTGATGGTCTAGTTGGAGGAGTACCTGTCCGTCCTGATGGTCTGGTCGGAGGTGTACCTGTTGGCCCTGATAGTCTAGTTGGAGGAGTATCTGTCTGTTCCGATTGTCTAGTTAAAAGACTTTGTGTTTGCACTGACGGGGAAGTTTGTCCTGTTTGTGTAGTCAGAAAGTCGGTCAGTCCAGATTGTATGGCTGGCTGAGTTGCAATTGGTATCGTAGATGGATTTGTAGCTTGTGAAAATGTGCCTGTTGGTGAAAACATTACTTCGGTGAACCCGTTAAATTGGATATGGATATTATGATTAGATTAGAATTTATAATTATAAAACGCAGTGTGGTTAATTTACTTCAAATTATAGCTGCATATTGCCACTTTACTGCTGAAATTTAATTTTTTAATTATTTTGATAATTATTTCATACCTGTTACTGATGTTGTTCCTGTTGCACCAGTTGCTTCTGATCCAGTTGAACCAGTTCCCGCAGATCCAGTTCCGGTAAGACCAGCCGCTGGAGACCCTGTTGCTCGTGTCATTGCTGATCCTGTTCCAGTAATTGTGGCGCCCGAAGCCGGAGATCCGCTGAATGTTTGTCCTGTTGCCCCGGACGCTGTTGATGTCCCCGTAGCACCCGATATACGAGTTGCACCAGATGCAGGGGACGAACTGTCGGTGGCCCCCGAGGCTGATGATGATCCAGTTACACCAGTCAGTTGTGTTACTCCCGTTGCGCCAGAAGGCACTGAGCCAGTAACAGTTGCACCAGACGCTTGCGTTCTGTCTGTTGCCCCTGAAGCAGGCGATGTACCTGTTGCCCCGGTCGCGGGTGAGGTTCCTGTGGCTCCCGACAGGGGTGATGCGGGTGATCCTGTCCCAGTTGCATCGGATGATGGTGACCCTGTTGCCCCAGACACAGGTGATGTTCCAGTTGCACCGGATGATGGGGATCCTGTTCCAGTTGCTCCGGACACTGGTGAAGTTCCTGTGGCCCCTGACGCAGGTGATGTTCCTGTGGCACCTGACGCAGGTGATGATCCAGTTGCCCCTGACGCAGGTGATGATCCAGTTGCCCCGGATCCAGGTGATGATCCAGTTGCCCCGGATCCAGGTGAAGTTTCTGTGGCACCTGATGCAGGTGATGTTCCTGTAGCACCTGACGCAGGTGATGTTCCAGTTGCCCCTGACGCAGGTGATGATGCAGTTGCCCCGGACGCAGGTGATGATCCAGTTGCCCCTGACGCAGGTGATGATCCAGTTGCCCCTGACGCAGGTGATGATCCAGTTGCCCCTGACGCAGGTGATGATCCAGTTGTCCCTGACGCAGGTGATGATCCAGTTGCCCCTGACGCAGGTGATGATCCAGTTGGCCCTGACGCAGGTGATGATTCAGTTGCCCCTGACGCAGGTGATGATCCAGTTGCCCCTGACGCAGGTGATGATTCAGTTACCCCTGACGCAGGTGATGATCCAGTTGCCCCTGACGCAGGCGATGTTCCAGTTGCCCCTGACACAGGTGATGATTCAGTTGCCCCTGATGCAGGTGATGATCCAGTTGCCCCTGATGCAGGTGATGATCCAGTTGCCCCTGACGCAGGTGATGATCCAGTTGCCCCTGACGCAGGTGATGATCCAGTTGCCCCTGACGGAGGTGATGTTCCCGTAGCACCTGACGCAGGCGATGTTCCTGTGGCTCCTGATGCCGGCGTAGTTCCTGTGGCCCCTGACGCAGGCGATGTTCCTGTTACACCGGATGGTGGTGACCCTGTTCCACTGGACACCTGTAAAGAGCCTGTGGCCCCTGACGGTTGTGATGATCCCCCAAATGAAAAAGTGAATCTATTGGTGTTAGTGACGCCAGACGCTAGAGATCCAGTGACAAAAAATCTGTTTGTGTTGGAAATTATTGTCGTTTCCCCTGATATAGCCTGAATCTCCACGGCATTGGCTACGATCGGTCTGCATGTACCGCAACATATTTTATCTCGGATGGTTGGTGTCTGACAAGAGCTGAATGAACATACTGCATCTGGATCATCCCCGGCGGGACAATCAACTGTAAATGTAAAAAAACAAGGGCATTCGTACGGTAATGTGTAAGCTGTGGATATATTGGTCCTAATATTAGCGATTGAAGTTTAAGTGTTAGATATTGAGAAAAACTGAGGATGGGTAGATATAAGCTTTGCTTGAATTCCTACTGTTTTGTATTATGGAAAACTAAACAAGACAACATTAATATATTAAGTGTTCAATGAGGGAAACTTTGTCTGAATTAAGAGAATGGTGAACATAGTCTACCTGGAGTAGCTGGAGCTGAGGGCGACTTCGTACAGACACCAGACTTGCATTCCTTAAATGAAAAATTATTGTTTGAACAAATCGCAATGTTGTTGTAATGGAATTATTCTGCACAGTCGAATATTAAAGGCGTGTATCGGCGGCTCAACTAGTATAGAGATTGATTGAATCAAGCCCATGAGTCCTCATCTCTAAGAGGGCCCCAATCCCCAGAGAAATATGCAGGAAAGCATATATTGAATGAACTATTGCCTGGGAAGGGGCCCAAGACCGATATGATATCTGTGATTGGTGGTGAAGGTAACTGTATTTTTAGTCATTACTCGATTACTTTACCTCATGTTGAGTGATCCCAATGGACTCTTACCTTTGTATTGCCACAAATTGTACCATCATGTGCAAGAATCGGTACACAGCTTGTAGAATTCGATGGATTGGAGCACATAAGCATATGGCACATATCATCATACGTTAGTCCATTTTGGGGAGTGTAAAAGGTCTGAAAGAAGAGATGCATCAAAATCAGCTTCAGGAAAATGTATAAGTGTCCATCATAGAGGAACTTGATAAACATGGGAAGATCTGACAATACTCTAAAAACATTATGCTACTCCAATGTGATGGTCTGGTGCCATGCTTGTCGTGGTTTAACTGTGAACGATCTGGCTATTTACAAAGAATTTTATTTAGTGGCATCTTGAAACTGATGTCTGATTATGTTTACTTACCCTGCAGAACTTGGATCCTTTCCCCAAAGCTATCTCACACTGTACATCCACTGGATATTTTCTGCCAAAAGGTTGCTTAGTGAATGGTGTGATATCTATAGGCTGAGTGTCCAGAGTCTGGGTACAGTCTCCAGTCAAACTGAAACAATCAATTAGAAAGTGGAATTTAGCTACGTTTTCCGTAAAGGGCAGGTGAACTGTTTGCTTTGCTCATTGGTGAGGCGGTAACTAAACCATTGAAGGGAAAGAATCGGACGAGTTAAAAAGAGTTACTTACTTAGCCAGGTATTTGTTGATGCCGGTGGCAGAACAGGGTGAGAAGATCCAGGGATGGGAAGCTCTAGCTCGATCTGGTATACCAACACTAGAGGACATGATGTTGAAGTTGGATGAGGGACAGTTGTTACCATTCTCCCCATCGTGGTACGAGCCAAGACTATAAATAGATATATTTGGTTAACATAGAAAATGAAACGGAGTTTTGCATTGTATTGTTGTATATTTAAAGTTGATGGGTCACCCTTTGGTGGTTAATTGGTTACTCTTTGGGTGGTTAATTGGTTACCCTTTGAAAGTAGTATAAACCGACGAAAAATTATCAGAAAAGCCATACCTGTGTGCTAACTCATGAGTAGCAATGGTAGCGAACATTTCCCCACTTGTAAATTCTGCAATAGATGCTGATCGCAGAGAACAGGTGCTCCCCATTTCTGCTAGACCTAAGAAGAGAAATTATCCACAGTTAGACGAGTCAGTCAAATGAAGCGGACCTAATTGATCAAATAGCCAAACCAATCGACTTAGATGGGGTTGCGTAGAGAAAACCAGAGGAAAATGATAAGCAAGAGGGTTTATAGCTAGCTGGTACACGTTGGCTGGTAGAGAGGATCATGGAACATATTAAGAGTAAATCTCCATACTTACCTGCATTCGATGACTTTCCGCCTTGGGCGATGTCATATCTGAAATCAAAATCACAGAGGTTGTTAGAATCATTTGGTTTGTGGATGGATTACCTATTTTCTGTTACTGCGATCGAATCAGAGGGCCACACCACGCAAACAACATAATTGAAGCAGCAACAACACACTGTGCTTTAGAGTCTCAGTCAGCTTCTGTAACGCATTTAGATCGTAAGCGTCCACTACGATCTGTGACCTACGGCTATACTGATTTCCATTGATGAATCGTTCTGACAATTGATCTTACCGTGTTACTAGCATAACATGGTCAAACGCGTGAAGTTCCTTCCGGTTAACCACAAAAGTAATGATGTTGGTCAACGCTGCATCTGAATCTACTAGTCCATCTTTAAGAGCATCTTCCGTCCATTTTGAAGTAACTCTTGACTGAAACACAAGAGTAAGGCAAAATGAATGATCCTGAATAACTATCTCCAAAAACACCCAGACACGTAGCCAATGCCCCTCCTGATATATTACTTATGGTACTTGGCGGGAAGCGTATTAAATTTGCCTTACCTCGGCTATGATTATCTTAGACAACAAAACCTCGACATCAACATTATACTGTTGTAGAGTAGTAAACCTACTGTTCATCTGAAATATAACACGAAGATATTACCAGCTGTTCAACACATTACTTTAAGGGGTTTGT